GCCTCTTCCATACGGAGCCCTCTTCCTTACGGAGCCCTCTTCCATACGGAGCCCTCTTCCATACGGAGGCCTCTTCCTTACGGAGCCCTCCCTATAGAGCCGTCTTCCCTATTCCTATCTTGCTGCTCTGGCAGTGCATCGAATAAGCCCCGTCGAGCTTTAGGGCACAGATAATATAAACCCTGGTCAGGCTTGGATAAATGGAATCAGAGCTCGCTATTCTTAAGAAATCGATAGTCGTGAATATAATTTCATTCGCAGCCTTATTATGGTTCCAATTTATGAAGGCAAAGCAACACAAAACAGCAAAGAAACAAAATAACCGAAGAAATGAGACCAGCTCCACGCAGAGATTAGTCCGAAGGTGATTTACTAGCGTCTCGTTCCCCGCCGCGGTTTCCTAGAGCCATCCTCCAATTGGGCAAGCTGGCGTGTCAGTTTCTCTATATCACGACGAAGGTCGCGAGCCTGGTAGGAGCTTTGTCGGTATCGTGGTGTTTTCTCACTTTCACCACGCCTCATGTTCGTAGAGTGACCCCTACCGTACTTCGGAGCACGTGAAGTTAACGGTGTGGATTGTCGAGTCTGTCGAGGCTGCGAATGCTGCTTTGTCCTTCTTTCAGGAGGGTTGTCTTCCGGGGTTTCGGACGCTTGGGAGGCTGTATCGCTTTCTTCATCGCTCTCGTCTTCTGATAACCATGGGCGATTGTTACCATGCGTCTGTTCGACTTCTAGTGCCTTCTGGTAGATAATATTGTCTCCGTTGCGGTTTGGACCAGCGGAGATTCGACGAACAAAGGTCCTTGTTTCGAGTGTAGTCACTTCGTCATTCCAGAGGACTATAACTCGTGTTTCTGGGTACACAGCGCCAGGCTCTGGGACAATCAAGCTCAAGGGATCTACTTCTCCATCATCGTCATCTGGAACTTTCCAGCCCACACCAAGAATATCAGCGACTTGATCCCTGGTCCAAACCCAGTCCTGGACCTTGATTCCATCTGTTCCGCGAAAGGTCCGCTTTTGCGTACCGCGGGATTCAGAGCTGAGAACCTGCTCAACCTCTCTTCGATCAAATGATTCATAAGAGCCACTTCTGATGCGATATACCGGATCCACATCTCCATATTTCACAAAAGTTTGATAGCCGGTGCCCTTTTTCCACCAGTATAGAACTTCCCCGGAAGAAATAGCCCTTTGTTCATTCTGGGCTCTGGCTTCTAATCGCTGAAACTCTGTCAAATTGGCCTCGGTTGGATCGTGATGAGCGGCGGGCGGCCCTCTTTTGTAAGTATTACTCGCGGCCATCTCGAACAATGTTCGCATATTGCTCGGACTAAGCATGCTCTCCAAAGCAAGGGGGTTGATATTCCAGCCTTCAGGGAGATAGAACTTCTTGTTGTACGCGTTGATCAGTTTGTAAGTGTTATCGAAAACCGCCATCAGTTTTTCAGGTCGCCAGCCACTCGCTTTACTAAGTCGTAATTTCCAAAGCCTGACGGCCTCTATAATTAACTGCGCGTTGATGCATCCACTCGAAGAAGCCACGCCCTGTCTGATATTGGCAAGCCTGATTTTTCGGTTCAAATTAGTGAAAAATTGAGCGACGTCTTGTGCTCTTGTGGCTTCATCGTCGACTTGTGCGCTTGTGGTTTCGTCGTCGAAAAAGTCATAGACTAAATTATAGTGGCGATTGGTTTCTTGCCAGATCAACTTTTGGACATGGTGATCTGGCAGCGATGGTTCATCGTCACGCTCAATTGACTCCGCCAGCTCTTCGTCGTTATCCTCGTTTATCGGCGCTAATCGTCCGCTGTCTAGGTCTGGGTCCGCCCTTTTGTGAAAAACTTTCAACTTATTTCTCTATATATGAGGTAGGATTCATACTCACCTCGCCGCAGAATCCACATCCGCATCCATCACCCCATAGTTATCATCTCTAGGTTTCTTCCTAGGTTTATCAACGGAGACATGGCTTCTAGGTTGATCGCTTTAGTCCACTATCAAGCCGACCGATAGGATCCACCTACTCTCGAGGGGACTCTCCCCCGTCCCCAATGGGATCTGGCGTTCCAGTACCACTTGGGTCCGGAGCTCCTTGGGTACCAGGCGCCGGCGTTCCAGCACCACTTGGTCCCGGTGTTCTAGTACCAATCGGGTCCCGAGCTCCTTGGGTACCAGGTGCCGGCGTTCCCGCACCACTTGGGGCCGGTGTGTTAAGCTGAGCATTTCGGTTATGTTGCTTTCTTCGAGGCATATTGAATGAGTTTTATTCTTTACATTCGATCTAGAGTCCGGAAATAGGAGGGTGAAACTCAAGGTTTAAATGAGGTTTCTTGCCGACCCCAAATGGTCTTGGCATCAGATCCTAAGGGGCCGTTGGAAGTCAATGCCTAGGCACTTAATGGTGTTGGCAACAATATGTTTTAATTGGTCGGTGGGATTGAAATTCAATTTGAGTTATAGATCCCAAATCATCATCTAAATAGACCCTAAACTGTAAAATCTTTATATGTGCGTTAAATGCCATCAACACCGCGTCTCCTTCAAACTATCACGAAACTGCTATTGATTTCACGTAAGCGAAGCATTTCCACCCATAAAATAGCATTACTAACAGGTCAGAATGATTGGTGAAATATCTTGGGAGTGTGTTTGTTGTCCCTTCAAAGACTCCCGTTCTTTGAAGATGGAAATGCGCTCATCCGATCCTGGATCTTGCTGGACGGCGTTTTGGTCTTTCATTCTTCCTGCGAAGAGACGAGTATACATTCATACTGTTTGTAGGACTTGTATTGAGGAGAGAGACTTTACTTTCCCAGATGAGCAGTTAAGCGTCATCTGGAAAGCCAGAGGACAATTTTATTTTGAGAATCGAAGTTCTTGGGCGAGAACAAGCTGGAGGTACTGGTTGCCAAGCTCCGAATGCCAGGCAATCAACAATTCGATCGCGCAGAATGGCAAGCTCGCTCTATTGCTGTCTGTCAATGCTTCTCTCTCTTGAACGTTCGGAAGGAGTATCTGCTAGGTAGATATTGAAGGAAAGAACATATTTTGTATGTAAACAGAAATGATTACCAGACCTACTCAGCTGGACTATAGGACTTTGAGCAACAGAAGACACTGGTATTATGAACGGTCATCTTTACTCTTTTTCGAAAGCGTACTCGAGCAAACGGCTATAGTGCCAATTGCTGACTACAAGTCATCTAATATGCATTTTTTTCCGGAAATCATTAGATTCGAACTTAGGAAATAAGGTTAAAATGAATATCCAGGCTAGAAGATGATATTAAGGAACGTAATGGCATTTAAATGTTAGCGCTAAATAACGTTTTCACTAGTCAAACCTTCTTGCACTACATGGACTCGTTGAGGGAACGATCTAGAATACCTAAATGAATCCAAAAAGTAGGGTACGAGGTTCCAGGTGTCTTCCCCTGGGTTTGCTTGCTGCAGGAATTCATGCTATACCATCATTAGCCTATCTCTAGCTGCAATCCTCAGGCAAGACTAAACTTACTTCAAACAAAAATGCAAACGGAGCAGTGCTAACTTGTTGTAGAAAGTCCTCGGCATATCTTGATAGGCCAGTCTCGGGCTGTGACCAGAATTGATCCCAGTTCATCTGAGGGTCCCTAAAACGTATAACGAGAAGGGCAAGATCTTTCCGGTCCTTCTCCTTCTCTCTTAAAGATAGAGAGCCCACAATGCCGATTCCGATGTTTGCTAACTCCATGGTTAGTATACGCGCGAAAACTAATTCTGGGTTTAATACCAATTCTCACACGGCCATCTTCAAAAAGTAACACGTTACGTAGACTTATCGCACCATGGCTTATCCGCAGCTCATTGTGTATATATTCGAGTCCAAGCAGAATGCTTTTGCATATAGTGGCCAGATCAGACTCACTAGCTTGGATATGGGGACTCGAGAAGACCAGTGACAGATCAATCGCAAAGCCGCTATACTTATAGACCATCCAGAGGCACTCATGTTCGTGGAACGCTTCTATAAGTTCTACCACATTTCGATGCGAGGCGCTTCGAATATTGGGACTTTCCTTCTTTCTGGTATGAGCCTTCTTTATCAACACTTTTGAATAGCCAAGGGAGTTTTCGAGCCCGATCCATCCGTCCCCGGCTTGCTCGATTTTCCAACATATAAGATACTTTTGAGATGGGTTTCCAATATGTAGAATCTTCTCTATAGATGCTTCACGCACTCGCTGTACGGCTTTGGAAGGCGACTGCTTGCCTAGAGTCGTTTTGACTGGAATCGGAATTAAGAATGGGGCCTCTCTTCCAGAATTGGATTGCAACGGTCGAGGTGATGTTTGGGGGGCGTCATTCTCAACTGTGTCGATTTCCTTATCCCATAAATGCTCAGGCAGGCATGTGGCACGATTGGGACGCGTCGCCATTTTGACGAGATCAACGGGTAGTTAAACATGAATATCGAACAAACCTGAAGAGCCAGACAAATTCCCATTTATATGTACCAAACTCCCACGCTCAGGGAAACTCTTTCGGGGGCGGTACTAGCGCATAAATGCCGTCCTCGTTTAGTGCCGAGACAGGAAAACGCTCCGCTCTATTAAGGTTGCGTCCACATGTGCCTCCCAGTGTTTACTAATTTTCGAATTCCCCGTTCGGTACACTACGATTCTGAGACATTGAAATATTTCAAAATCCCAGCTTTAAACATTCATTTCTCTCCAATGTCCCAATTCGATCCCCAAACAAATACTAGCCCCGGCATGGAAGGTGAGGAGATACGAGAGCCAGTTCGTGGCAGTCAGTCTATTCAAACGCTTTACGCGCAAATGATAATAGATTTTTATTGTACCCCATGGAGGTACAACGTACTTGCTAGTACTGCCAACTGGGTGTTGCTGGCTGGCTATCTTGTGATCCCTGGTACATTCACGTCACTTCAAAAGTCAAAGTCGCTGGAACATAAACTGGACGCAAACGACACAGGAAAGACAATCCTTGACACAATTCAGAACCCTCCAATTCTTGGCATTGCATGTTCTTTCCTTATTCTAGGAGCTGTGGGGATGGGTGCTCTTGGGTGGGACCGAAGGCATAACTATGTTTGGCTTATCGATAGAATGTTTATGTAAGTCTGTCTTGGAAAGTGCCTACCTGGGCAGTGGCTAGGTTGGCCCGTGGACTGTTGCGAACCGAACTGAGACTTTTAGTCCTACATTTTTCAATTCGGTTGCAGGTCTGATTACAACGATAATCAATATCTATACTGCTCGCAATGGAGATTGGCCCATTATGGCGGTCCTAACAGCAAGTATCACTGCAGTTATGGCATTGACTTCATTTGTCCTTATTATGGTGTACCAATTTGGCAAGTTGGAAAGAATAAAGGAAGAGCATGTTCGGGAGATTGATGCCGCGTTTCGAATGGTGGGATGACACACTTCAAGTGGGTAAGCCCATTTTTGTTAAAACCAATCAATTACCAATTTCTCACCTAGAGCCGCTTACGACTAGTTTACATATAGAGAGAGATTGTAAAAGAAAAAGAGAAGAAGAAATAGAGTAACAAAGAGAAACGAATAAACCCTTGCTTAGATTGTGTTATATCTTATATACATTTACTCTTCTTTTGCTGGTCAAGTATCATTTTGTTAAGCGAAGTAGAAGTAGCTACTAAAAGGGCGCGGCATCGCCCGTTTGACATATGTATACAGCCCCCCGGGAGAGGCCTTCCACAACTAACTACCTGTATATATGTAGCTACGGTTTATCATCATGGAGAACACAACTTTTTTTAACGCCGATTTACAAGACTCCCCCGAATCCTTCTTTCTAGGTTTTGCGAAAGTCCAGATCCGGAGCTTTGAGTTTGGAATAAACGACGAGCAGAATGTGCTAAACTACCTTCGATTCTTCGAGTGCCATGGCTGCTCGCGGTCGGACCCCGAACATCACGTATCTGCGGTGGCAAACCAAGATATCTTCACGAATGCAATTGAATCGCAAAATCTCTCAGCGATTGATTTCTACGATGTGAAAAATCCGCCCTTTCTACGGCTTGGGTTAGGCAACAAGCTAAGGTGTATCCGGGGACACGATCTACTAGAGGCAGGTCACCGGTATCTTCCACCCGGCGAGCGTTGGTGGTATACAAAACTCTATCGTGATGGTCAGTCATGGTTGGAGCCGTTTAAAAAGAAGAAGTCTTCTCTAATAGTCACTTTAGACATCCCAAAACATTTAGAGGACCATATCCGACAGAATTACTCTATAAGTGAGCCGGCATCTGATGAAGTTATATTCCGGTCAATCCTTCTAAGAGACGACTCTCTGGAAAAATCGGAGTCGAAATTCGGATCTAGTGCCGATTACCACTATGTTAAGCAGGTTAATCGAAACCGCGCGCTACGCTCAGCACTTAAAAAGCTAGCCAGATACCGCGGATTGTGGGGTACATTTACCTATCGGAAGTTGGAATATATTGTTAGTCCTCGATGTGATGAGGTTTGTATAAACACGTGATATTATTAATAGGCTTGCTGACTAATCGTAAGGAAATTGTTCACTATCTGTCTCAAATTTATGAGATATGGTCTCTGCTTTTTCCTGGGGAAAATGCTTCTTTGGTGGACGTCCCATCAGTTGAGCTCGTGGAAGGCCGGATTCCGAAGTACTCACTCGACGATCGAACTGCGATTGAAGATGGTATGCGTAGTGGATTATTGTTTCCAAGGTTGGAAGCTAATAGGGATGGTGTTCTTAAGGGTTTGTTAGCAGTTTCGGGGAGAATTCTAACTTTGACCCTTCTCTTCCGCGACGCAATATGTTTAGGTCCACCAGCTAAGGCGATGAGAGAAATCCTACCTATTCCAAAGGGGGAGACAATCAAAAAAGTATTTCTAAGAAACTGGAGAGATTGGGACGGAAAATTCGTTATTCAGCTGTCGGAAACCAAATTCGAAGATATCTCACTGGGTCCACAGTCGGACGACGCCGAGAGCATGGTGGCATTAACAACACTATCTCAGCTCTGGCTTGTGGCTTTAAGATATCATCTGAGCCCTCGAGTGGGAAGAGCAAACAAACCTTATAGTGTTCAACCTCTTCTAGAAATCCAGGGAAAGGGGGTTCTAGAACAGACAGCAAAGGCACTCGGGCTGAACTCTGGCCAATCACCTATTCGCGACCCAAATCTTCCAGCATTCCAACATGTGACAGCAGTCCTTTCAGGTGCACCTGATGGAATCCCTGACGCTAGCTTATCTGCCTGGCTGTCCAAACGGTTCACGCCTTTAGTAAGGATGAGGATGAGGAGAGGAGAAGAGGGTACACGCAGTCCACCAAATATCGCCTCGGATAGAGAGAGTCAGAGGTCAAGCTACAGATCTGGACGTCCTCTGCAACGGGAGTATCAACATGATCGTCAGTTCCTTTTTTTCAGATACATATTCTACCCCCAGGAGAATCCTGAGTTATACCCGACTTCGTTCGCTATCATGAGAGACTTTTTCCTGTCCTTTTTCGGACAACCTCAACTTCTAGGACAATCAAGAGAGGTACTCCGCGGGCCTGATCTATCAATCACTGAAGAAACGTCTACCCTAGTCCCCTCGAGACCTCCCTCGGCGCAGCCTTCTGTGGGGTCAAGGTATCCCTCCCCGGGACCACCCTCGGCGCAGCCTTCTGTGGGGTCAAGGTATCCCTCCCCGGAACAAGAATCAACGGTCTCGCACGACCAACTGTCCTTGATGCAACCCCTGCAGTCACCAGGAGAGTTTCGTTTAACATCTATGGTCTCTCTACCACCACACCCAGAGATAGATTCGCATGAGAGGCAACAAAACCTCTTCGCCCCTGGATTTGAAGATCACGACTCTATGGCACCAACAGGCGAGAAAAACAAAATCCTCCGTCTCGCTGATGCCAAGGATATACTTTCGGATTGGTTCCAGGCTATTCCTAATAACGGAGCTGTCGTGGTCTTCTTTTTTTTCCAAACCCATGAATACATCAAATTTTACAAACAAGACGAAGATGCCATAAAGAGATGGCTCGACGATCTCGTGACTAGGCGTCGTTGCTACTTTCTTACACTTGATGGTGATAGATTGATGACGGTAGAGATTGAACATGCCACTAGTGTTGCTGTTGATATTAGTCTGCTCTTTGTCGGCGACAACTCAGCATTCTTCGTGGGTGATAAGTCAAAAAATTTGACTCGCGGCATATCTCAAACCCAGCTCGACGAATATATTGCGAACTATGATGTTTTGACGGGAAGACCGAGAAAGCGTGCCCGTGATGATGAGGAAGACCTTTAGAGAAAATAAAAAGGAATTTGTTACACAGCCTAGCTAAACAAAATAACAAAAACACATTCCTCGACCGAGGCTCTGACCTGCGAGTATTGATGAGAAATTTCTACCGCCGGAGAAGGCCAGTCATATTTCATATTCTCCTCCAAGTTGGTCTCTAAATCAAATATCTTGAAGTTCACGATGCGCAAGTAACTGTAATAGGCATAGCGTGTTTTGAACGAGTTCGAGAGAGAATTCCCGCGTGCAAGTGGTGAAACTGATTTCGATCCATTCCTGTACCCGGGTCTCTTCCTCGAGGGAGGCAGCTGCAAGGCAAGCTCACTCTGAGGGGCCGCCTGGGCCAGTTGGAAGTTGAGCACCACCCCGAGGCGGCTCAGGCCGGCCATGGTGGGCTTTTTGCATGGATGTCATACCGTCTCACGCTTGACTAAGCCGCTATAGGCCTTCCAAAGTTAGGGCTTACTTAGGTGATGGTTCTACTGCGGGTTCCGTTATAGCGCAGACTACGCGTATTGATGGGGACGATTAGATATTTGTTAAAAATAACCCGCCCAACCCGCGGACAGGCGCAGCCCGCCCTCCGCCCGCAAAAGTGCGGGTTGATACGTGTGAGGGAAAGGTCCTTAATATAGCGGTTCTATGTCTAATTTTGCGTTTAAAAATGGCTTATTCCGGTCTTAGAGACGTGAAACCAATTCTATATCAAGTGACTCAGAAGGTTTGGCGTCGGGAGACTCCTCATATGACACCTTTCTGTCTTGTGCGACAATAAAATTATAAACAATTGGATTCAACTATCATCAAATGGGGATCTAGATCAAATGCTATTCTTATGTTTAACCTTTATAGGAATAAAAGGTGCACGCAGAGATAATGGCAAGTCGCGCTAGCCCAATCAAGCTACCGGCGGAACAGGATGCTGCAATGAGCGGATGCTGAGGGTCGTAAGTGTATGAGGCAATAAGAAAATATCGCTCCTACGTACCTGTCTCAGTTCCATAACAGATCTTGCTGATGTTGTCGACGATAGAAAATCAACGGCATTGGAATCGATCGGCCATCGAGCTGGATCATCTATTCCCACATTTTCTTTCACATATTTCTGCATCAGTTCCATTGTCAGATATCCCAAGCCTTTCAAGGACAAAGACTGAGTCTGTTCCGGCGTGTAGGGCACAGTCAATTCTAAACTAGCTATCTCGACAGTCAGTCTTTCAACAACCCACTTTTAAATTCTAAGTATCATACCAATTTTCACCACTCCATCTAGACCCATTAGGGCAGTGGAGCACTTTAAAGATGAATGTTGATAGCCGCATTCAATCAAATAAGACAATCCGTCCATGACCTGTTTGAGGATGGAAGCCAGCTGGGCCTCAGTGGGATAGGCATCGCTGGCGACCAGATGTTCCAAACTAATTGGCAGGTCATCGACAATGAAGTGGTTCACTCCATTGTCATTGAAGCATTCACTGGCAGAGATGATGTTGACATGATCGAAGCGCGTATATTTGCGGAGCAACTCCTCTCCATCAGTTCTTGACGAGCTTATTGTTTACCAAATACTGCCTCCGCTAGACCAGAGTCGCAAATTTCTGGGGCTGTATGCTAAAACTCACGAGACTAGAACCCTAAGTATCTAGAAGTAAGTGTAAGTCAAGGTAAATAAGCCTTTTTCCCGTTTTCAAGAACACCTATCACATTACCAATGTTAGCTAATAATAACATTGCAAGATGGCTGAGTCGACCGGTCTCATAGACGATATGGACGATATGATTGATTGGATCAATCATGAAGCCCACACGCCAAATCCTGTATCAGATCAGCTTTCCGGAACACGATGCGACCATCTTGATTTCACACACAACCTGGATATTTCGCAAGGCGTTGACAACTTCCCCGCTACTAGGAACGTTATCAACCATGCTTTCATTACCAACGGCAAGATCAGAAATACGGCTATGGATAACGTCATCTGCATTAACGTTACGATGAGACGTCCTCGAATTAAGAACACTATAATCCTCAATTATGTGGATATAAACCAGATTCTCACATTCGCAACGCTTGATAACGCTGATATTAGCGCCGCTTCTGTCTCCAACTCTATCATCGTCACCTCTAATGTCGACGATTGCGACGTTGCTAACTCAACCCTTACCAATATTGAGCTCATTAATCCTATCTTCTGCCCGTTTCTGTTTCCAGAGCTACCGTTTCCAGTCCAAGACAATTTGTCGGACGCCGAGGAACAGGTTGATTATAACATAACACCCTATACGAGCTTTGACACACCCGGTATTACAACTCAAAACCAGGACTTGTCGAATCCTTCAACCCAAAACATCCAAGGGGGTCACCGAATTGATGCACATGTGGCTACTCAATCATCATTGAATCTACTCGAAGAGGCTCGGGCTTCCTCTCAGGGTTCTATACCAGAGATTGGCAGCCACGAGGAACACAACAGCGAAGGCCAATTGGAAATTTCGACCGAAAATGTCTCGATTCTACCAAATGTACTATCACCCATCGGGATTTATGCGACCCCCATTTCTGATTGCAGCACACCTTGTGACAAAGTTGCTACGCCACCTTATACGCCAAAAAGACGAACACGAGAGCAGTTGGCTTCACAAGGAAAGAGAAAGAGACAAACAGAACCAAAGCCGCGTGTAGGGAATACAAATGAAAATGTTCTTACTCTTCTCAAAAAATGCGTCTGTGGGAGCAAAAGCGAAAAGCTCAATAACAAACAAGCGCAGGAGGTTCAAACCGTTGCGGATTATATGGTTTCGGATGATCTTCGAACATCCTTACAGTCTCATCTAGCAATATGGCAGGAAAATCTGTCCACTAGGGGGCACGCCCTCGGATTTCCGCTCCTAGAAAAGAGCCCAACAGCTGCCGCAAAATACTTCGAACTATTCCAGTCGAACAGACTCCTGAAGTACAGCCTTGAGCATCGCATGGCACTTGTTTCTTTCTATTTGATTTATCTTGAAATCGCCCGTGAAATGAGGGTTAACGAAGATCGCGGCAATTATAAGCCTCGATCTGAAGATAACAGGTTTACAACAATGGCCAATGATAAGATCTTAGAAGCCATCCATGGCGTTAAAGTACAAAGCTTTAGCAAGGAAGAGCTCGATTCCGGCAGAGCATTGATGAACGAGTATCATCGCTGGGGCAAACGATGGTGGACGCTTGCGAGTGGCACCGGTCTTGGAGTACTACTCATACCTGGCGAGCAGCTCGCTATGGCAATGTGAGTGACTCTGAAATGAGATTGTCTTTTGTCTTTTAATCAAACACTGACTCCCACCTGGTATTGTAGCAGAACCGAAAAGTTTACCATGAGCCAGATGAACGCGTTGATGACATATATCAATGCCGCTCGCCCAGGATGCCTTTCTTTCTTCAAATCTTTGGAGAGTATCACGAAGGCAATGATGTTTGGGCAACTGCCTGGTGACCTGGTTAAAGCTGTAAAGGAAACAGAACGCGGCCTTCTCGGCCGGACCACACTGATACGAGTAAATGAGCAGGATGAGATGAGCTTGTCTTCTCAAGAGGACTCCCATTCTTGGAAAGACGTGAAGATGGAGTCTATTGTAATGCAGAAGGCGGCCTTATTTTTCTATGATTTGAAACTGTGAGCATGAGTATTTGAAATATTTTCCTTCAACACCAAGCGTTTTTGAGTTTGCGCATTTATTAGGTCATTCTATTTATTTCTGGTCTTTATCAAACTGTGTACGTTGTCTTTACACAAGTAGGCGGCTCAAGTTACATACAGTAAAGCATTGGACCACTCAGCTTAGACTGTATCCCGATTGATGATCGTTTGTTGTTCTAGTTGAACGGCTGCAAGCCCAACTTAAGACCCCGGGGAATTTCTTCAGAGCTACCAACCCGTTTCAATTGTCTGGAAAGTGCGTCGAAATCTTATGTTTCTACGTATGTGAAAATCTTGTGCTATAGGGCATCTGAATTGATTGACCCTAGTAAGTCCTCATCGATTGAATAGCAAGACTAAAATCTGATTTTCTACAGATATTTAGCGTTTGGATTACTTCAAGAGTTGCATTTTTATACCTCATCTGAGTTTGTCCGGGGATTCATTCTAGAGCAGTCGTGGAGAGAGAGTCACGTATAACGCAATTCATTCTTATTTCAACTGCTTAGCCAAAGAGCAGCAAAGGTCGGGTGTCTTCAGTCTTAGAAAATAGAAAACGGGACGCAGCGGAGGAGCTATGACCAGCTTTCTATATTGCACTCAACCGGGTCCAAACTTATAAAGGCAAGGCGTTCTTCGGCATTAATCCCTTATTCTACATCACATCCCAATTTCCGTTAGGCTTGAACGTAAGTCTTTATATTATCTAGCAGATATTATATATACTGACACTACCTAGCATGAAAGGAACTGTCTCCTAGTTTTGCGTGTCTTGCCATGATAGCGATTCCCAACGCATAAAGATCAAATTTATAGGACATGAGCCTAGATCGTTTGCGTTGTCATATATACTCCCTGCTAAGCGGCGTATCAATATCAATACACTATACGCAAATTGCTTAGATAAAACCAACCTATTGTCATCGAAGCGACAGCGGGCGTTCATCCACAAGAAGGATCAAATCACGTTTGAAAGAAGCCTTACTTGGGCAAAGCAGGAGTGGGACGTTTAGGTGACTTGTCGCGAATGTCAACTATAAAAGGAGTTGGAATAAGAACGCTTTTACAGTCGCTACTGTACTTTACCAGTTCTCGGCTAGCGATCTATCGAGCAATCTATCGAGCAATCTATTGAGGATTACTTTCAATCCTATAAGCGGCTTCATTCAGATACACAGTCATCAGCTAGAGCCCGAGCGTCCGCGGTGACTATTTCAGAGCTTGAGATGGAATGTGGGGTGGGAGAGGCCCAGCCCTTAGTACCTGGTGACTATGATGAGCTTAAGGAATACTTTGGTAGTGGTACACGCGATGTCCTTTCAATACCAGCTACAGGGGCAGGTGTAGTACGCCTTTTAAAGCCGTCGAAAATGCCGCCCGGGATGTCTGTCACTACCGACGAGGCTCTCTAAAGCCATCGACAATTCAAGATCTAATGATGTTCATGTGTACATCAAAATTTGAGATTGAAGATAGTCATCGAGCCATCGAGCCCTGATCAATGAGTATCTTTCACAGGAAGAGATATAGGCCAATCAAGAAGAGAAGGATACCAACACCCATCACCTTGAACCCATTAGTTATGATGATGATGGTGGTGGTGGTGGTGATACTATTCAGCCCTTAGTTGAACAGGCCCAATCCCAACGGAGACAGCATACTCAGTTGGAGCCAGGGGTTGAACAGCAGGATGGTGAGCCTGAGCTACCTAGCATACAACGGCATTCAGGGAGGGTTTGGAAGCGCTCAAGTAAGCTTGATGGCTATGAAGTTGAGAGTGATAAGCGCCGTAAGACGGGCCGTCCAGAACCAATCGATCAATACTGTCAAACTACACCGCCTTCCTCATGGAAAACACGTGACTGGAGGAACGCGTTTTTGTGCACAAAAACGCGTTCGTGGGAATCACGTGACCATGACTCCCGCATATACTCCCAAGGACTATATAGTATACGGTGACTCCAGCGGTGACTCTAGGGGAGTCACCTGGGGGGTAGAGAACGAAGGATATATAAGGACACTCATCTCCTGTACTTCATTAGTTCTCTGTCTTCAATCATACATTGTTACTTGTGTTTACCTTTGGATTACCAGTGTGACTTCTTACTTGATTATAACTTGACAACACTCATCAGTTGGCCAATACCCCGGTACAGACCACCTGAGCGCTCTCCCTGGCATCGTTCCTCGATACCCTCAAAAGGACCTAACATGCAGTAAGGCCTGTTGGCAACAGTACGGTTGAGAGACAGATCGTTGACGTTGGAGGATCGGACGACTGGCAAGTATAACCCGTGATCTACTAACCCTAACTGTGACCAGTGTGCAGTGCGTAACACACCGTCCAAGCTACCATAGACACATTTTTGTGCACAAAAACCCGTCTACGAGAGCACCGTCCAATCTACGAGAGTACCGTCCAAGCTACCATAGACACGTTTTTGTGCACAAAAACCCGTCTACGAGAGCACCGTCCAATCTACGAGAGTACCGTCCAAGCTGCCTTAGATACGTTTTTGTGCACAAAAACCCGTCTACCAGAGCACCGTCTAAGCTACCATAGACACGTTTTTGTGCACAAAAACCCGTCTACGAGAGCACCGTCCAATCTACGAGAGTACCGTCCAAGCTGCCTTAGATACGTTTTTGTGCACAAAAACCCGTCTACGAGAGCACCGTCCAATCTACGAGAGCACCGTCCAATCTACGAGAGTACCGTCCAAGCTACCATAGACACGTTTTTGTGCACAAAAACCAGTTTCTTTGTTTGCTCACGTTCTTTGTTTGACATACAATGAAAAGAGCACGAGGTTGCTCTATCTACTACCTGACTAGCTCTGCTTTTGATTCTGGTTCTCCCTACTACATCGACTTACCTTTGTCACTTGCTCATTTTCATTTTCGCCATGTCGACACCTATCGAAGATACCAACATAGCTGGAGAAGCCCTCCAGCTATCATTTACCAATACACTCAGTATCCACGGCCAGCTAGTGAGGTCAATAGATGAAGCTCTCGAAGTGGTGAAAACCCTCGCTCCTGAGGACGTTTACCCCGCTGCTTTGATGATTCAAGACCATGCCCATGCCTTTTTAGGAGCAGCAGTGAGATCCCTACGGAAGCTACATGACTTTGTCGAACAAGGAGAATTCTGGAAATCGCATGAAGAAACCCTCGAAGCATTTCAGGACTCGTGGAAGACCACACGGGATGCTGTCAAAGCCCAGGAGACTCTCGATCGATTCAACGCAAAGCTTCGTCAACGAGCTATTACCCAGTGGGGTGAAAGCCAGGCCAACGCCCTTCTTGCACGTTTAAAAGGCGATACCATGATGCGAAAAGCCAGCAAGTTTCTCTCTGAAGGATTCTCATACCCTGAGATCCAAGCTGCTATTAATAATGCTTATGTGCACCGACGATCTACACGTGGACGTGGGATTCGCCAGGAAACTCGAATCATGCAAGGAGACCTTACCAACGCCTTAGCGCAGCGAGATTTTACACCCCTTAACCCCGATACACTCTGTGCACTAGAACTAGGAATCGACGTGGATGGATTTGTCTGCCCTGCCGGAGCTACTGGGTCTACACTACCTCACCTACGCTCACCTGTGCGAGCTGCAGGAGCTACTGAGCTCGTTGACCCTCGCAAATCGAATGGATCGAATGAGCAACCTGACCCAGCGACGACGACTCAGCCTTCGAAGCTTCCAAAGAGGCTCCGTACCGCAACACCCTCATCACCCTCATCGATACCACCGCCCTCGCTACCAACACCCTCATCGATACCATCGCCCTCGCTACCAACACCCTCATCGATACCATCGCGCTCGCTACCAACACCCTCATCGATACCACCGCCCTCGCTACCTTCGTCATCTCTTTTTCCTAACGAGGACGAGGACGAGGACGAGCCCATCCCCAGCCCTTCTAAGCGTGCACGCATAAACCCTAAGAAGTTACTTACTTCTTACGGCGAGGACGAGGATGAGGATGAGGATGAGGATGAGGACGAGGACGAGAACGAGGATGAGGATGAGGACGAGGACGAGGACGAGAACGAGCCCATCCCCAGCCCTTCTAAGCGTGCACGCATAAAACCTAAGAAGTTACTTGCTTCTTACGGCGAGGACGAGGATGAGGACGAGGACGAGGACGAGCCCATCCCCAGCCCTTCTAAGCGTGCACGCATAAACCCTAAGAAGTTACTTACTTCTTACGGCGAGGACGAGGACGAGGATGAGGATGAGGATGAGGACGAGAACGAGAACGAGCCCATCCCCAGCCCTTCTAAGCGTGCACGCATAAACCCTAAGAAGTTACTTGCTTCTTGTGACTGTGCACTTACCGAAGCTGCTATCAAACGCCTTCTGGTAAAGGGAGAGCTCTCAACGGACACCCTAAAGAAGCAGCTACTCCGAAAGGTTAGACGAGAAATTACCACCCAGTCGCCTTCACCCGCCTTACCTACACTACCTCTCTGCAGAGCTCACACAAGAATCCTATGCACAAATCTAGGGCTCTACCAAGGATCCCACTCAGAAATGCTACGACGACTATGTGACTTATACAACAACCTTGGAATGTGGGACCAGATGAGGCGCAGTAACCCTTCTTGGTTTAAAGGCGGGGCTAGGAATCTTCAATCTGGATGGAGATTTACAGCTATTTCTCCTACCCTGCCTAGGGTATCTAACCCAGCACAAATGCAATTTCTTACATTCAAAAAGATCTACATACGCTGCTTTGGACAAGCCCCTGACCCTACTGTCCAGAACTTGGATAAGCAGATGGTTCGAGATGGAAGCATTGTGATTCCAGGGCTTTTTGGATGGTTGAATGAAGATTTTGATGGGAATCATCCAGGCGGCCTACAGTCTTTGATCAAGCAAGAGTTCAGCATGTATGACTGGCATTACCGTGCCCGCCCTGGCGAACCTCGAATTGGGTGGGCTAGGAATATGTGGTTCAGCATCGTGCAGCAGCTGGTTCGACAAGACCCCGCTTACTATGCCTTGTATGTATTCTTCCGCCCTGACCACCCATGGAAGCTGGTGTCGTTCCCATACTATGCCAAGAGTACCTATCCTGGAGAGAGCACATTCTTCCGCCATATTGATGTGAACATTGCCGACTTTGTGCAAACCGGTCGTGGACAGAGCGCACTACAAGGGAGCCTTGCCCTTTCCGATGAAAATGACCAAAATTGCACTGAATTACTCCTGGGCATGCATCGGGATATCAGAGCATGGTATGAACGACTAATTGATAGAGGGTATGCGAAAGATAGCTTTGTGCAGCGGATTGAACCCGACATGTGGACCCAGGATGATGCTATCCATTTCGGGTATACCTGGACTAAGCAAATATGCCAGTTTGGGGACGTGCGACTGAGTTCGGCTGCCCTTCCTCATGGTTCTACTGGCCCAGCCACCTCCCATCGCATGAACATCCTTCCCTGGTTTGTAAGTGTCGGAGATGACCACCAAACTCTGGATACGGCCGAATCTGGCACTTGGGATGATCTCTCTCGCTGCCATCGCGACTTCCATTCTGGCACGAAAACCCCATCCGGCCTAGCGAATAGCACTTACGGAGGACGACTAGACGAAGTTTTCCCTGCGGCTGTGCGACTAGGACACCTTGGTGCTACTTCTAGTGCGCTGATTGGCCAAACTAGGTGGAACGGAGTGGATGTGCGGAGAGAACTGGATGTCTTATTCGGAGAGGATGATGAGGCAGCATGGATCTATCTACAAGCATGGAGAAGGAACGCCCAGCAGCTTTACTGCGCTGCCTTTGAGAACCTTATCGCTGCTGAAAAAGAGGCATTTGCTGAGAATTCTTACTTCCTGCGGAGAGAATTGAATCTCGATACTACTCCGGCGTTTATTCGAGACGGGGTCTACTGGCCAGAATTCCAGCACACTACGAATGCTCCGGCTCCTGGCGGTGGCGGTGGCGGTGGCGATGGCGAGGCTGAGGCTGGTGCTGTCGCTGGTGCTGATGCTGACGAATCGACAAAAATCAGATTTGGGTGCGCGAATTTGGTGGAAGAGAGCTGCACTGCGAGTAGTGAAGTGGATGGGAGTGAAGATATGGACGACCTCTTTGTAGACGTGTCTCTCTACGGAGATGCCCTTTCGGATCTCGCTTCTGACTCTTAGAATGTGCCTGAACTTACTGGCTATCTGGAATCTTAATGAGGAGTTTTGTGCACAAAAACCCGACCTGGGTCTGCTTTGATGCTTGTTTAAAATAGAAGATATTTTACCTATTAAAGTGATGCTCTCCTGGCAGCAAATACTTTCTTAATTTTTATACTACTAAGCTGTAGACAGAATACTGAATAATACCGCCGAAACCTGCATACTTTTATGCATCTAAGCAGATTTCCATGTTTGTCATGTTTGTTGGCCCTCAAAATGTTTAGAGGGCCGCCCTCGGAATCAAAACCTGCTGTGTAAGAATAAAAGTACGAATTCTCTCTCGTATTTACGCTAGTGGAGTGGAAAAACCCAGTGAGGGAAAACCACGCCCAGAGAGATACATGATAGACGCTGGAACATGAAGGTTCTTAGAGCCATCTCAATTGGAGCCGTGACCCAGTTTTAGCACGCCGGAAATCAGATAACCAGCGCTTCAGACCGTAGTGCAAGAATCTGGTAACATGGTGGACGAAGTTGAAGACAGGCCATGAACGGAAGAAGTTTTCGACGCTGCCGAAGAGCTTGATACCGGCGAGGAAGACTCAGATGAGGTGGGGGCAGATGGTGAGGACAAGGAAGACTCAGATGAGGTCGAGGAAGACTCAGATGAGGTCGAGGAAGACTCAGATGAGGTTGGGGCGGATGATGAGGACAAGGAAGACGTAGATGAGGTCGAGGCGGATAAGGACGAGGAAGACGTAGATGAGGCCGAGACGGATGATAAGGACGAGGAAGTCATGGATAACAAGTCGGAAGCACTACACGAGCTTCCTACCTTTAAGCCGTTGTCTAGTGTACATGCTGCTTTATTTCCATTATGGTTGAAAAAAGTGACAAGTCCATCGTCGTTCACTTCTATCCATGCGACTGGACGACTGTTTTCCGTGCCGCATGTGTCTACCTTTAGCACGGAATAGTGTTTGCGGCTGCCATCTGTAACCTTGCTTAAATCTAGGGCTGTGTTAGCGCCCTATCACAGTGGCGTAGCGCTCTCACGCACCTGAACAGTCATCTCCGTCGCGTAGACCAAAAGGTGCTGAGGACCCTGTGCAGCCATGGTTATCATCGGACCATATCGCACATTGGCCACCGTAATCAATGATAGTAAGAGTTCCACCTAAAGAGGCGCGTATGTGGATGCTAGCGAGGAGTAGAAAGACAGAGAATATCATTCTGTTTGATGGCATCCTAAAGATTGAAGAGTGCTTTAAGTGGCATACGATGTGGCTTTAAGTATCTAGAGGAGGCGCAATTAGGCCTTTAATACGGTCATAGCAACTGCCATACTGCCACGATCAAATGGTGTCGGCAGAAAATGGCTTTGACCGGGCCCTATTCCATTCAACTCGCCGCGCCCAGAAAGAGGAGGCAAGGGTACGAAGGAATGGCGCCCAGGGTCGCATGCATCTATTTTATGCCTGAATGCCTGGATTTTGCCTGGCAGAAAAATAGTTAATCTTGGATATTACCTACATATATAGGTACCATTCTAGTGACCTTAGTAAGCAAAGTACCTTACGTAGTTCTTAGGCAGATAGATGAAGCTTTTAATCCCATACAAATCTATAATATCCAGTTTCTGAGGTGATTCACTAGATATCTCTCGCTCTGTATGAAAACGAGGCTTTTATCCTATACAATAAAATTCACATTTGGGATAGTAGTATAAAAGTGGTGAATGTCCAACAATCGATGGCATTATGTTTACGCTGTCCACTCTAAGTATTTGAAAAAGGGTCCATTCGAACATACAGTGCGTTAACATGCTCACGAGTGCTTGATCTACTACTATCTCTGAATGTTCACAGCCTAGGCTAACTGAAAGGTCTCTTTCCGTTTCCCCAATCTAGGGCTTTCTCGAGAACAAAGAAGGGGATACTGAGGCGGAAGGCTGACCGAACGAACTCTTTCCTCTCACACTGGGCTCTTTCGGCGGAGATCCGAATGTTGAGACCTTAGGCCGACTGAACGGATTCACATGGGGCTCTTTCGGCGGAGATCCGAACGTTAAGTCCTTAGGCCGACTGAACGGATTCACATGGGGTTCTTTCGGCGGAGATCCGAATGTTGAGACCTTAGGCCGACTGAAGGGATTCACATGGGGTTCTTTCGGCGGAGATCCGAATGTTGAGACCTTAGGCCGACTGAACGGATTCACATGGGGTTCTTTCGGCGGAGATCCGAATGTTGAGACCTTAGGCCGACTGAAGGGATTCACATGGGGCTCTTTTGGCGGAGATCCGAATGTCGAGGAGCCAGGGGGAGAACCCTTTACAGGCTGACGGAAAGGATTCTTCCCCTTTTCTAGGCTAGGAGAGTTCTTTCCCCGAGCCTCCTTTCTCGGGATGCGGCGTTTTTTCTTCGCGCCTTTCTTCCAGGCTGGATCTGTATTAGCGATATAACGATAAAGAAGTAAATTGACATACGGAAGATGATGTTCAATACTCCCATGTTGCTTTAAATAGTTATACTAGGCTTAAACCTTCGTTTAAATAATTTAAATGACGATATTCCTTTATTAGACGAGATTTCTATAGTAAATGGAACTGAACGCGAAGAGGAGTATTTATACGTCAGCCCAAGTTGAGGCTTAAGGCCCCGTGGTGGTGTTAGAACTAACAAGCAATCGTACTATTCACCGGCTAGAGGACTATCTACCGGGGGTGGCAGGTGAAAGTTTCGTTTAGCGCTAACCTTCCAAGTCAGAAGTATACAAAGAAGCACAAGAAAAGAAATTAATCAAAAAGAATAAAGCTAAAGCCTGTAGCGGCGCCACGCCCAAAATGTGTCTCAGAACCCAGAATAGGGTCACTATTCACTCCATAAAGGGACAGCCTTACTTCATTTAACTAAAGTGAGCCGACCTAGTCAGCTCGAGACTACACTCACGGATGCCCAAAGTTCTAATCTAGGATGTCTTCACAGATGGACACATCCAGTGGTGCCGTGTCTCATGAATATTTTACTACGGTAGGTCAAAAACGTCAATTGAATACACTACTCTAAATCTCACAACAATCCGGTAGGCCAATGCATTCGATCTAATTGAGAAGCTATTATACCAAGATCAGGCGTCCCGACATTACCAGGGGCGCCTAGAATCCAGGATTGATAGGGACGCTGCTGCGTACCAGAACTTGAGCACTCACTGCACTCAGGTAGAGAGAAAGGTATCTGGTCTAGAGTATGAAAAATCGCAATACGAATCCTCTTTACGTGTCGCAGCCGAAACATGTCAAGCAATATCTCGTGATCTTAGCTTGGAAAGAAGCAAATTGCTGCAGCTAGAATCCCGAGTCGCCAACCTTCATCCCTCGATCGATGCCATGCTACACTCTCTAAGTACTAAGAACGACCCTCTTTCTACTGGAAGATATATCCAGCGATTTCAGCAACTCCAGCATGATAATGAATGCCAGCGGGAACTGATCACATGTCTTCAAACAACTATTCGAGACCGTGAGAAGGCAATAGAAAATCTGAAAGCAGCGATACCAGAAGCCCCAGACTTCCCGGTCAACAAAGACGCCCTCGTTGACGGAGAAGAGAAATTGTCTGATCCCACAGATCTCACAGACGACGAATCTTCTATTGATATTATCACGAAACGTCGCAATAGCGATAGCTCTACCTGAAATCTCTGTTTCCTCTCTCGAGCAATATGAATTGCAGAGTTCGTTATTATTTTCAATTGCGTTTGTTTTCGCTCTCGCGAATATGTATTGCAAGTTTTATTCGGTAAAGGAGACTACTGGTTGAAATGATACCAGGGACTGGCCTTAGGTCGGCCTTCACTATCACCTATCCACAGAAGGCTGCTTCGTGTAGGGAAGACGACTCCATGTATATTCTCAGTAAAGAAACTTAGACTATTGAGATAATGGTCATTAAACTAGACCTGCAATATGATATACATGCTTTATCCTGCAAAGGGTAAACATCCGATATATCCTGTGAATCGTTCTCGGCAGATAGGGCATTTTTTTGGGGTTTCAAGGTTTCCCGCGCATGACTCGCAAATCATGTGCCCACATACAATCGTCACCCAGCGGTCTGGTTGCGTGTAGCAGATCTTGCACTCTAAAACACGCCTTTCTCTTTGCCGGGAAGCTTCCTCTAGCGTCTTTCGGTGCCTCTCCCTCTCCTGGCGAAGTTCATCTCGAAGCATGCGTTTTTTCTCCCGTAGCCGTTGCATTTTATGGCGAATTGCCTTTTGGAGCTCCTTAAAAGCGTTATCCTGATCTATTGTTAGTGAAGGGCGAAGAAGGAGGTCTTATAAGAACTAGTACCAAAGCAGACGGCTCCTTCATTTCGGTTCTTTTGCGTTTACGCGATGGCGTCGTATCCGTCTCATCATCTGTTTCACCGAACATGTGCTCAAATTCTCGGTAACTGTAATCACAGCGAGGGCCCCCCCGAGGTCGTGAGCCACCTGGCTGGAGGCTTGGCAATTCCTCGTCATCGGCTATAATAATGGTGTTGGAATGGCTTGCCATCGTGATCCTAGTGGCCACGCTCAGAAAGTCGATATAAGCGGGCCTAGGAAGAGGAAAAGAGAATATCAGAGCATGCAACTGGCTGGGGGAAGGAGGCCCTTTATATACCTAAGAACTAATAATGGAGGACTCAGCCCCGGCAGGTAATTAGACACTAGTGCGATTGCAATAGGTAGCACTACACGATTGGACGGGGCATTTCTTATGTCATAAAAGCAGTGTGCGATCTTGCCGCTTTATTATATCTGAGATTCAACATTGATTTGATAGAAGCACGTTGTCGCCGCAAGTTCCGAAGCTTTGCTCACAACCAGAGCAATCCGAGAAAGTTTCTCTAAAGTCTATGTCCCCTGCTGGACAAAACGCCTGACCCAGAATGCGTACTGTTTCCTCTTTAGCATGGAGCGTAGCCCGGAGAGACAAAATCTGTTCTTCTTGTTGCTGAAATTGACTCTTTAATGCGTCCGACTGATCGCAAGATTGCAACCTGAGGAGTAGACTTTGAACCAAAGGATAGATACCTGCCAGACGGGATTCTAAGTCTTGGTTTTTAGCCTGTTCTAGCGCTAGGTTGTGGACCAGAGTTTGCCGATCTTCCGAAGCATGGCGAAGCTGGGTCTCCATATGCAATTGCTTCCGGTCGCCATCGAGCAAGTCGCTTTCTAGCCGTTTACAATAACGCCGTAGCCCGTCGTAGAGAAGTGCTTGTTCGTGAATTTGGTGCTCGAGTTGTTCCTGATAAATCTTCGATGCCCGCTCTCTGGTAAAGGTACGCTCCGCGATAAAGTAGTCGTTGGAACCCTATATGTATAACATATTTAGCAGTAGGCTTGATTCGTGGAAGTGCAACTGGCCCTTACTAGTTCAGTGCTTGGGCCAGGAACATCAAATTCATTGCTAGAAGACATATTGTCCTTGCTACAGTCAAACAGGATAGACAGCCAAGGTTATCAAGTAGGGAAATTAAAAAAGTCGTCGAGATAATCTAGTGAGCAACGACGAATAAGGAAGCACGTTTGCCGAGCCCGAAGAGGCGCCGGGATAACCTTTGACTAGTGCCATTTTCAGATAGTCTCCTAATGCGATAGCCTTTTAAAATCGCTTCACGTGATCACTTTACGATGCGCCCCTTGCGATTAATGCAGGGTAGGGGAACACAGGATGTGGGCTTAGCCAACTAGGCTCGGGGGGAAGAGAATTCCGGCCGGCCAAAACAAACCGTGCCCAGCTAATCAGATCGCACATTATAAGCGCCGTTGGTGATAAGAGCGTTTAATACGCAGTAGTGTTGATTAGTGTTTCGCACTAATACCCGTGGGTGGCCGCGCCCAAAATAGATCGTACGCGTGGACCATGGATGCTAGATCGAATCGCACCAGTCATTGTCTAAGTGGGGAATGAACCAGATAGCAAAATCACATTCCGTTTCGACCAGGTATAGGGGAGTGGCACCGATTTTGGGGCGGCGGGTTCTCTTAGACTCCACTTCGGTGTTGGTGGTAATAGTTATTGGTCAGCCTCTAGCTATTTGTTCGTGAGATTCCTAATTCTAATTCAAAGTATTCTTTGTGCCATGAACTTTTGATATGTCTACATCCAACCGCTACCCACTGCAAACGATCTCAGAAGAAATCACACCCACAGACCACCATATCCTATGTGGTGGGGGCACGTCCTCCTGCATCGAAAGGCTGCCTTCTCGCATACAACAGTATAAGCAAACGGCCCCCAACTCTAGACAACAAATCGAGGACCTGACGTACGAAATAAGCTATCTGAGAGCCGAGCTTCAGTGGCAAAGAGAGTCGAGAGAAATATTTCTTCGTTTCCAAAGGAAAATGTTTGACATATTTGGCATGATGGAGGAGGAGCTTGCCCAAAGCACCGCACGGCTCGATGAAGCCCGTTCAAACTATCTGGGTGTCTGGAATCTTGGCCCAGGGGTGGAAGATGAAGTGAACGTAATATAGAATGGTGTAGCGATGGAGGTATATATAAGTGGGCCAATATAGTTGGAATTACTAGGAATATTCAATGTGAAGCCCCAGCGCGCCTGTTGTATGTACTGAGACGATGATGGGGTTTATTGGTTGCAAATTGTATACACGAGAGACATCTAGCAGATGACATTCCAAAGACAAATATGAGCCAAGTGGTTGAAAACCACCAGATCATTTTCGCTTTCGGGTTGCTTTGTTTTGAAATTGAAATGGCACTTTAGAACGCTCCGGTTTCTCGTTCCTGCTACTGAAAGCCTCCATAACTATTCTTTCACGCTTCACCATTTCGCTCACAGTCTCAGCTAGGCTGTCAACCGTATCGAAGATTTGCTGAATTCTCGGATCTTCAGGAAAGCTCGCAATGCCGTCTGCCTTAGAGGAGATTAGTGTGACAGTCTGTGAAAGGTCTGAAGCAGTGTCTGCGAGCTTGCCGGCTGTTGCTGGGAGCTCGCTCATCACGTCTGAAAGTTGAGACATAGTAGATGAAAGCCCGTCGGCTATCGTTGAGAGCCGTGTCGCTTCCATCGAAAGCTTATCAATCATATTAAAAGGGATATCTGGACTTTTCAAAGAAACGGCTAAACCTGGCACCTCAGGTTCTACCGAAGAGGTCACCAGGCCTAGGGGGGTATTATCCCCCAACAAGCTAGCAAGTGCACGCTCGCCTTCGTCCCAGGAGGAAGCTCCTACACTTGTCTCGTCCAATGGGTCCGATGAGGCGGGTGAGATATGGTCTATTGGTGTTTTACTTTTCTCCTGTGGAGGCGTCTGCTTCTCAGATGCCCTTATATATGGTCAGCTTATCGCGCTCTGTTGTTGCGAATTCCTGCTAGATCCTTACCCGATCAAGCATGCAGGCTCACCACGCGGTGGCATCAAATGAGAAGTATCGTTTGGAAGCATAACATCCGGTATAGGAACAGCGCTGTTTGGAGGACCACTATTTGACCCAATCCCGCTATAGCTAGGAGCAAAGTCGACACCGTTCGGAGGGAAGGAAGCACCACTTAATGGGGGGAAGCTGTTCATATTGGTGCTGTATCACAAAATTAGAGAATGTCATTTAACATAACTTTAAAGGAGACTCACAACCCATTCCAGCCGAGCCCTCGTGGGTCGGGGTAACCCCCTAGCATAACCGAGTGATTGAAGTTGTTCGGCGTGCTTCCCATGACCGGAACAGCGCCCCAATGGTTATCCATCTCATAATAGGGGTCTTGATCCCCTTGACGTAGATTGGGATTCTGGGCAACTTGGTACGGCGCGATGCCATAGGCATAAGGATTGTAAGGATAATCATTGGGAAACATCATGAGGAGAAGTAGAAGTGAAGGGACGAGAGCACTATCCATTCCCCCTCAGGGGTTTATACTACCACCGACCGCCATCAGCTGGTCAGTAAAGGACTATTCCAGCTCTCTCACCCCTGTTCAAACCTTGTAGAGACCAAACGCCGCAAAGTATCGATGATCAAAGAAAAAGGTATCCAACAACTCTATTGGGCGCTTAACGACCAACTTCCCCCATCCCGCTTGACCTAAACAAGGAAGGATTCGCGGGCGATGATCGACAGGTGGGCACCAATTTGGGGTACCGGCCTAGATTGAAAGGGTATTAGGACCATGTGGGTCATAACTGCGGCCGACACCATTTTGGGAACATTTGTCGTCTATAACAATAAATTCCGCTATTTCCGGCAAAACATCAAACTAGAAATCGGAAAAAGAAAGTCAGACTCCAATATGCAGCATCTAGACCGTATTGGCTGGCTCGAGATATGTCTCGGCAGAGACTCTAGGCTTGCTATCCATGACAAAGACCGTCTGCAAGTCGTAATTGACGAGCTGGCGCAGCCAGACTGTCAATATCCAAGCTTGTGCACTTTCCTTGGAAATAAGGAGAAAGATTTGGCCCTCCAATATCTCTACCCCCAGAATAACATCAAAAGATACAGCTCGTGTTCAAATATTCGGCTAAGGCCTGATACTATGTCGCTGAACTCAACTCGTCCTGTACTGTTTGCTGATGGGGACGTGCAGCAGCTTCGACCTCTCCCAGATACTAGCCCTGAAGCAACTCTTGGAAATCCTGTGCTGTGGGAGTGCTGCTCTATGCAAGCAATTTTAATTATTGTATGGGCGCGTCTGGTTTTCCTTTTTACTGACGTGATCTGTATTTTCGGTGACGACCTCGATGGTCTGAAGGGCGTTGCAGAGTTTCTCGCTGCTTGTATTAGAATACAATCAGCATCATCCTTCCCTAGTGCTCTTCGCCCACGAGTAATCGTCGCACTAAGAGCAAGGACGGAAGACTTGGACGAATATCTCCTACAGACAGAGTTATTCTACCACCAGCTGTATAGCTCGGGAGACAAGTCTTTAAACGATTCATTTTCAGCTATCAACTTCGTCTATTTAGATGAAAGTCTATCTCCGACTGCTCGGTATGAAAGACTACGGGCTCTTATAAAGGGCCAAATACAGGACATGACTATGTTATACCGTGACAATGGTGCCCTTCCTTCAGCTACTCAGCTTGTCGCGCTTTTCGGCTCAGCTTTGCAGCATTTGACGACTACTATTGATCGCCCTTTCAACTTTGTTGAGTCAACCAGAGTCAACAACAAGGTCTCTCAGGCAGTTGGTACGAATATAGCACATTACCACCGGGCTGGGAAAACTGCCGGCTTTCAGGGAGGGGATATCGCGCCTGTGGTTGCGGCAGCCCTGTTAATGGACCACTACTTCCCGGAGATGCTAGGTATGTGAGCAATATACTGGTGCAATTCAATTGAACCCCACTAAAGCGAGTCCGCGCTCTTATTCCTTACAGCCCTGCCGCCTAGAATGGTTTTCCACACTTTATATAAAGAAAAGATCCTCGAAGCCCTTCAAAAGGAGGTTGACTGGCCTCAGAGCTCTCCCGAGGAGCTCACCAACCAAATTGAATGTCAGTTTATCACCGTATTTGACGAAATGGTATATAACAACAGATCGTCTGCGGAACTACGAAAGCGGCAGCTTGTTTCCCAATATGGCCGGCTTTGTCGCATAAGATCAAACAGGATCTGCCTCTACTGCATCTTACGCGTTGCCCAACATACTCTAGGTTGTGGCCATACGATGTGCGACACGTGTGCTCAGATATTTGGAGTGCCAGTACCTTCCTACGAGTACCGTTTTCAGATCGCCTTTTGCCTTCATTGTCTTTATCGCAGGCCTCTGATAATTGATGTTCTCCCGCCCACAATGTCTCCTTCTGTTCTAGCTATTGATGGAGGCGGAGTGCGAGGAGTCATCCCTCTGGAATTCTTGCTTCTGCTCCAGGAACATTTGAGGCCATGTCAAATCCCTGATATTTTTGATTTGGGAGTTGGAACAAGCTCCGGTACGCCCCGTCTATATAATTTGGAACCCTCTAACATCGGCAAGGTGGCCATATCATTCTCGGACTATTTGCTATGTTTTGGACTATAGCAGACTGTTCTCTAAAATTTGAGGTGCTAGCCAAGCACATTTTCCGCGAGAGGCGTCGAGCAGCTCTTCCTTGGCTTATGCGCATCCTCCTCAGCCGCCTACCCGTCCTAGGGAGTCTTTCAAAATGGATTATATGGCTCCTTTACGACAGTTGCTATGACTCCAGGGTATTTGAGTCGACCTTGAAAGTGGCTTTTCATAGGAAAGAGAACCTATTTGGCCCGTTTGCAATTCCATCTGGACCGCTATTCTCCGGTGCTAAATTTGGCGTCACAGCAACGAGTATATCTAGGAACACAAACTCTTTCATCATGGGTAATTTCAATGCTGTTCAGGATCCAGGGGAAGAAGATCACGGTTGGTTGCAGACTATCCTGAGATTCATCTTCTGATTTATATTAGGCTACGAAATTCTGCGGCCATACAATGTGAAAGACGAGCCACGGGTTTGCCAAGCGTAATCACCTCTAGTATACCCCAATATTAATTGACAACGCTGATGGTACATATAGAGCTGAAGCTACTGCTGCTGCACCTTTGTACGATACGCGGGCCTCTTTTGCTTTTGAGTAGCTAACAAATTTCATTACGTAGTTTCTTTAGGCCTGCCCATATCCGGGGAATAGGCTCCTTCCAGGATGGTGGACTCCAGTACAACTTTACTGGAGCCATCGCTAGCCAACTGTGTCACCGAATATGGCCTTCACGTGGAGGTCCCGCCCGCCTTCTATCATTGGGGACTGGAATCACAGATAGTGCGTGCGATAGAACACCGCATTTTCGTCATGTCTTTTCAGATGGATTCCTGCGACGAGGCTTTGATGCGTGGATGTCTTCCATGGATACAGAGCAGGAATGGCACAGAATGAGAAACCAGCTAAGCGAGGCTAGTCGGCCTGACTATTTCCGATTTAATGTGCCGCTAGGGGGTATTCCCAGTCCTATCGATGCAGTTGCAATGATTAAAAGCTATCGAGATCTGGTGCTTCTCCAGCCGGGGAGTGCCCGAATTGCCCGAGAGGCAGCATCCGCACTTCTAGCATCCAGGTTCTACTTTGAATTGACGGATTTACCACCAAAAGATGGCTTTCCCTTTTGGTGCCATGGCGTCATCCGTTGCAAGGGTCAAGCCAAGGATGTGGTACAAGCGCTAAGCCAGCTCCACCCACAGGGACTAGACCTAGCAATCGAATCAAAGAAGGTGGGGCATTTTGGAACGACGCGGGACATTTGCTGCGAGTGCGGGTGCTTTGTTCATCCGGTTATTTTCCTAGTGCGTCATTCTGAAGAGACTATTGATATTCGGATAAGGCCCTCCCCGCATGATGGTTGGAGAATCAACGGCTTCCCAGCGAATATGGCGTCGTTTGAAATGAAGCAGTCACCCTCATCACCATTTGGGCGGAGTGACCATGGCTATTTGAACAGAGCACCTTGCATAAATTGCATTTCGCATGAAAGTTCGCGCCGAACCCGAGGTACCCGGCGTAGGCGTGGATCAGGAACGCTGGGCTCAAGGGAAGAACAAACAAAAAGAGTGTGTTTATAGATCGACAGAGGATATACCTAGTTTGAAATGTGATTCAAGAACCCCTCACAAGCCACAGTACTAAGTTAGTAACTAGCGTTGGAGACAAAAGTACGATCCTGCTCATCTTTGTCATGACGCTAAGAAACGCCTCAGAAGTATAAATAACCCCTCAGTTTCCCACGTAGAATTAAAGAAATCTATACAATCAATCTCCTTGAAAGTTTTATTTATCATCTAAACAAAAATGGGAGGCACCGATTATACCAAAAAGGAACGCTCCACATTTTGCAAAAGAGCTCCGACCCTCATCAAAAAGGCTCACGAGCTCGCGGAACAGTGCAACGCACATGTCTATGTTCTCATTGACCATCCACGTGCCCGAGTGGCATATAGCTCCTCTAATGGGGGTGAAACGCCTTTGCCAGATGATGTATTAGTAATGTTGGTAAGCGCAGGTTGCCACCTATCCAAGGGCTCCCCAAGGGACCGCGACATGGGTGCTAACGCACCCCTTATAGGAAAATCTCTATCCTGGACTACAGCAGCTCACTCAGTCTGGTATTCAAGAGTCTAGCGAAGAAACTCGTAGGGAAAAAGTTGATGGAGTCTTTCGATACTTTGAGTTCAGAGCCCAAGCACTGTCTAGAATGAAGGATGAGGAACCTGAAATCAACACTACAGGGACGGAGAAGCAGCCTCATTGAACGTGATTAGGGTACAGAAAGGGGTCGGCTTACACAATCTGCTGGCCCTGAAGTGTGTCACCTAGGGTGAGCATGAAAAAGCTTATGGCGAAAAATATCTGTGGCTCCCATTCGGGCTCCCTTTGCTCAGCTACTTTTAATTTCACCATAACGCCGCTGCTATCCCATAGAAACTCTTTCTCCAATCTTTTTTCATCTTCACTAAAATAACCACCGTATTATGGACTTCCTCAACTCGACGGAAGGGCGCTACTCGCTGGTTGTTGTTGCCGCCTTATTATGTATTGGGATTTACCATTACGCGCGAGTAGCTTCGTATTATGTATTCGGACCTTTTCGCTCGTTCTTTCTCTACCACATTGCCTATCCAAAATTTGAGAAACGGATCTTTGGTCTGCAAAAGTTATCTAGGCTGAATTTGATCATCGGATTCTTGTGCCTCGTTGGCACGGCGGTTTGCAACGCTTGGGGTGTCCATTCGCTACCTCAAGCAAGCTCAAGAGCAGCTCGCCTATGCCTAGCTCATTTGATCCCTATGTTCTTTGCTGGTGGTTATGAGTTAGGAGCCAGGATTCTTGGGATATCACTTCAGGGATACGGGGCCATCCATTATACATTTGGAATTTTGGCTATGCTTGAGGCTCTGGTCCATATTCTGATAATTACTTGCACCCAAAGTGTTACAATGTCAAATGATCTCCACCTATACGGTGTCCTAGTGAGCGCCTGTGATCGTTTACTAAGTTTCATACTGACTTCGTTGCGCAGTCGGCGAGCATGCTCCTTGCCCTAATGATTCTACCCCTCGTGAAGAAAAGGGTATACGAGGTATTTCTCAGAACTCACCAGGGTTGCGCTTTAGTCATGATCTATACAATATGGAGGCACACTCATTCCTTTCCAGCTAAGTCCTGGCTGTATACCGTCATCTACATCTCTACCCTCACTATTACTGGAATAATGCAGCTAGCTCGGATTCTCTTCAGAAATGTTGCACTCGGAAAAGGCTCGGTCCAGCTAGCCCTGCAAAGGCACGGAGATGCTGCGCAACTAACTCTCGAACTTCCTCGAGCGTGGAAAGTGAGGGCTGGAGAGCGCCTAATGTTGGGGGTCCCATGCGTCGGCCTCTTCTACCTGTTTCAAGCCCATCCATTTACGATCGTTTGGTGGGAAGTGAATCAAACTGACCAAACGATATTGGTTTCACTTCTTTTCCGACCACGAAACGGCTTCACAAGGAGACTACTTGAGAGGGTGGAGGTAAACAAAAAATGCCGTGCCTGGGTTGATGGTCCATTTGGCCCATGTTCCGTTAATCCACTTGGATTTTCTTCGGAAGTCGGTGATTACGGCCATTTGTTGTTGATAGCAACAGGTATTGGTATTGCAGCCCAACTGCCCTATATCAAGGAGATTTTAGAAGGTATTCATTCGGCGCGGGTCCGTACTCGAAGGATCTCTTTGGTTTGGCAGTTAGACAGACCGGGAGATTGGGAAAGTGCCCACGGTTGGCTGCAGAAATTGGTGGAACAAGATGATGGCTATGTAAGTTCTTTGATTTGTTATAAGATCAACACGCGGTTAATAATATAGTTGTTACATGTGACTGTGTATGACAAAACCAAGTCTCCCCATGTCAATGACCCGAAAAAGCTCGGGCACCATGGCCTAATCGAGGTTTACGGAGGTCAGGTCGACTGGGATGAACAGCTTTCCTTAGAGATGAAACATCAAGTGGGGAAGTTATTAGTCGCTGGTACGAACTTGTATACTAGTTTTCACATGTATGGCCTTTTCCCTAACAATAATTTACAGTGTCAGCTTGTCTCGATGCGCGACGTGCGGTAAGGGAACTTGTCAGAGCGAATATTCATCTTGGTGTTGAGCTTTTTGAGCAGGAATTTCAGCCTTGGACTTCGACAGAAACCCTTTTGTCCTATCTGAAACCTTAAATATTCAAACAAAATTGAAGTGAAATTGCCTCGGGCTCGTTGCCACCACCTAAAGGGGATCCTAGGTACCCGATCTTAAATTCTCTCCATGTGCCATCGCCCCATTCCCGTAGACTTTCAAGCAAATACTTTAGCCGAGATTCAATATGTCACCTAAAGAGTCAGGCTCAAGAAACTCAAGACGTGCCTTGTGGAGATCTAAGTGTAGGGAGCGCATGGCCCAGCACATTTGTACGCTTCCTCCCTCATTAATAGCAGATCATTGCTGATATACCTAGAAGACGATGAATTAGGCCTCAAAGTACACCCCTCTCATGTACGCCTAAAGTCCATTAACGATGACACTCCATATACTTGGAAGATTCTCGACCAGGGTCTTCTGCCCTTATTTCAAAGGCATCTCAGCAAGCACTCCATCGGTTCATATAAGCAGTTATGCAGCGAGATTGGAAAAACCTTTCATGTAATTGGGAAAGTAAGTTGTCTTCTAGGAAATGCAAAGAATGATAGGTTTCTGATGGTAAAGTAGCACGGAGCTGGAAAGATAATCGAGAGCCCGTGCCATTCAGATATACAGGGCATTGACCGCGTGCAATCACAGAGTCCTGATATCCTTCTAAGGACAGAAAGATCTCAGATCGTCTACGAACTTGAAGAAGCTAAAAGGAACACTATAGCAGAGGAGAAGAAGAGGATGCTAGCGGAGACTAAGGTACAGTATCTGATGAAGAGGCTCGAGGAGGCCCAAAATACGATCCAGTATCACCAGGAAGAGATACAACAATGGAAGGTGATAGCTGAATACTACCAGTCAAGTGTTTCCCGGTGCTCGAATTCACTGCAAGAGGTGATCACACTCCTCTACGGGGTGCAGGCAGACGTCACATTCGTTCCTTGGAACCCAATAAGCGAAGTTTAGCATCACAATCCTAGGCTACTCATCCTACCTATCAATATAGATATCATAGGAGCCAATTGACAACCGCATGGTGACTGGCCAATAGAGTTTCGCATTTGCCGCCCCTATTCAGGCTCGGCAATCAGGCCCCTATAGTATTCATTAAGACAATCATATAAAGCCTACACCGAAGGAACCAACAGTTATAGACGGTAGTCCCAACGATGACAGAGCTACCCCCAGAGATTCTACTTGCGGTCTTCGCGCACCTTTCCAAAAACGACTTGATATCAGTTTCATTGACAAATTGGAAGCACCGGTACTTAAGTCTCCCATATCTCTTCCATACTCTGAAAGTAAAATCCTCACTTTCTGGGCTCAATCGTCTGCAAAATGTGTCGAAATCTTATGTTTCTACGTATGTGAAAATCTTATGCTATGAGGCATCGGAATTGATTGACCCTAGTAAGTCCTTATCGATTGAGTAGCAAGACCAAAATCTGATTTCCTATAGATATTCAGCGTTTGGATTACTTTAAGAGTTGCATTTATACCTCATCTGAGTTCGTCCGGGACCAGAACGACTCATTCTGGGGCAGAGGTGGAGAGAGGGTCACGTATAACTCAATTTATTCTTATTTCAACTGCTTAGCCAAAGAGCAGCAAAGGATCTTGGATACGAGGGAAGACTTGAAAGCTTTCCGCAGATCTATACCCCGTTTCGCCTCGCTCCACAGCGTCCATATTACCTATGTTGCAGGTGTTCATAAGAGTTATCTCTGGTTCGCGCCTCGAGTCTTCGCTGATTGGAACTACTCATTTATAATACACCTTGAAACAATCATCGACGCTATGGTTGTGGCCAAAGAGAACGATATTCTGGTTAGATGTTTTCAAATATCTGGGTTCTACGCTCACCCAAGGGCCTGTGTTGGTAGTCTCCGACACAAAATGGCGGATGGACTAAGCAATATTGAAACACTCTGTCTAGATGACAGTCCCAATTTGATCGATTTCATGTCGAAAGTCCACCTCCCTGTTCTCCGTCATTTTGAGCTCGGACGCTGCTGGGTCACATATGAGGACATTCAAAGTGTCTTGAACGCGCATTTACAGGTCCGGTCTGTGCAACTATCGAAAATATGGCTCCCCGAAAGACTACGACTAGAGCTATCCTCTCTAGGAGAGATTCAAGGGGAATATCGTGATAACAGAGTCGAGGGGAACATTACTATTAATGTGGATAGATAAATAATGTACTTTGCATAATCAATTTACTTCTCCCCTAGAAGAGGGCTCCTAACATAAGAAGACGACGTAGAACTTCGGAAGAGGGCTCGAAAGATCTCGCTTTTAAATGACGGGAAACATACCCGACATCTGTTGCAACGAAAATTGTGAAGGAAAAAAGGGACTCGAAGACTGGAAGAGGAATTTGATACTGCTGATGCTCTATTTTATACAGAGCAGAGGAGAAAAATTAGTGTGCACGCTAGATGAGGTTTTACCTAGGCCTTGACAAGTGCAGCGGTACCGGTGCAGCGGTACTGGTGCAGTGGCTGCACCAAAGCCTTAGTTCGGTGCAGTGGTACGTGGGGCCGACTGCCCCAAGGGCGAGGTTCGGTGCAGCGGTACTTACTAGAAACAATGCAAACATTGCCTAATTCGGCTTATCCAGTGACTTGTATATGTTTTGTTGGTTACCAGATCGGCGGTATTAAGCCGAATGGGGTGATTTATTGGCAAAATCTGGCCTTGGCAGCACCTGGCTGCACTGCCTAGTTTTGCCCGGATGTGTTATGGGAGCACGTGACTGGCATGGCTGCCTGATTGCCCAGGCTAGTTGTTCATTTAACGTAACATGAGTAATTGTTATGTTTTATATGCTATCCAAAGCCATACAATTTAATTAATTCAGAATCGCACAACTTCCGTTGACCCTTAACTATTGCCAGGTCTACAGTTAAGATATAAGGTGTAAAATATCATTTACTATGTGTTTTTGGGCTGCGCCACTCGGTAGTGTGAGTCACTCCTCAGAAAAGTCCGCGGTCATAGGGTCGACTTGTGCTAGAGCGTCTAATGCATTTTAGAAATCCCCCTCAGAAAAGTCCGCGTTCTCGGGGTCGATCCGTGCTAGAGCGCCTGATGTATTCTGGAAATCCCCCTCGGAAACGTCCGCGCTCTCAGGATTCCAGTCTAATAATACTATTAGTACGGTTTTTCTCTTTTAGTTAGAAGTATTACGTACCAACACGTCCACGGACAACGAATGCATATTCAGCATAGTCGTCCAGACCACTGCTGGTCTCCATCGGTTCGGCGATCGTGTATATATATGGTTCTGTGTCCCAGCTGGATCCGTGTCAGCCATTTTCTGAAGAAATTAGAGTGTAAGTGCCCACTTGTCATCCGGTGTAGTACAGATCGGATGTTTGAGATCAATTCCATCTGCTACCTGAGCGTCCTCCTCCTGTTCATTGCTGGCAGAACAAGACTGACCTGGCTTAATTGCCAAGGAGAGTGGAGCCGAAGAACATTCATCGTCGCTGAGCTTGATCATCAACTGCTTCAGTCGATCAATGTCGAGCGACTGGTCCTGGGAGACAGGAGTGTTTGGAGGTTCTTGGTCGGGAAGAACGAGCAGCGCATTCTCAAGAATCTTAAGAGCCACACCAAAGAGATGCAACAGATCCTTCAAGTTGACAAGAGACATAGTCGACTCCTTCGTTGGGCTATTGGGTGGTGTCAAGCCTTGGAGGAATTTGGACGACTGAGAAATATCCGTGCGATATGGGAAGCTGGTATGGAGTGGCCCAAGAGACTGGAATGCCAATGATGAAGGGAAAGGTCAAAAAGAACCTGGGGGATTGGTCATTCTTATATGTTCGTTACCCCAGACTTCTGTGTTTATCAAGATCACACTTATCCCCTCACGTATTCAGCGTTTATGCGTCGGAGTGCACTATACGGTGCATGCATGGCATACGAAGTAGAGTGCCAATTTCAATTGGATAGATTCAGGTATCATTCAGTTGGTGGCGTCACTTTTGCATCGAGGCACTAAATCTTCGGGTCGTTCTTAGCTCTATAGGTATCGGAAGCACTAGCGTAATGACGCGGTAGACTTGACGACCAATTGCAGCGATGACCACGAAGTCGTGATCCCTGTGGAGCAGTATCATAGAATTGTGATTCCTGACGGATAACTTCCTGGTAGGCAGTAGTATCACACAACTGTGATCCTTGTAGATAGGTATCACACAACTGTGATCCTTGTACATAGGTATCACACAACTGTGATCCCTGACGTACCTGAATGCTAAATCAGATAAGTTGGAACGGGAATGCCCGAGGCCGAAGTGGGGCTGGGGTTTGGCGGTTATGGAACATTAATTTTCCGGATAGCTTCAACCGACCACTGCCCCGCAGCTGTTTGCATCGTCAGCTTCAGGCACGGCCAGTCTCAGTTATGGCAGCAACCACATTTAAGCTAGATGTGGCAAGGAATTCTCTCCTTGAGGAGGGGTTTTTTGATTTGAACGACTCAACGGTTGGTGACCACGTCTTAGAGATGGAGAGGCGGGGCTTCCCATATCTCACCGAATATGGTTTGGACTTTTGCAAGCAATTTGCCTTTGACGAAGTAAGTGGAATAAGACATTTCTGTGACTACGTCTAATTGTCTTCAGCGAATCCGATCTATCCTCGAAACCTCCCTTGAACGGTGCAGCCTCGGACACTGGCTGAGATACGAAGAATTCCCTGGCCATGTCGAATGCTTTAGGAGGGGTGGTCTAAAAGCTGGTCATCGTGTTCTTATGGTGCATCTGTGGGCCAAAGGATCACGAGTGGAGTATTATACCCTTTCGCATCTTCAAGACTTAGCGACTACGAAGGGGAGAAGATCCTTATATGAGATTCCCCAATCCGAGCTGGATCGTATAGGCTCTAAGCCCGAGGTGAAATATTTTCCAGATGGTGGCTTGTAAGTAATATCTTTATATTATAGTCATGCTCTAACAACTGTAGGGTGATTCTGGACGCTAGACTCGGTTTTAAGATCGAGCAAGGATATGCCATTACGTTTCTTTTTGCCACAGATGAAGTGATCGCCAACTGGGCGAAAATGACCCTTCCATACTCAAAAAGACTGGAACATAAAGTCAAGGAGCTAGAAATGCTGAGCACGAAAATTGGACTGAACTTCACGTTTGAGGGTCCTGCTGGAAGGATAGAGAATTAGCCCTCATTGTCCATGGTATACTGCAGGTTCTGTGGTTACTACAATATCGTCTTGAGCCGGCCATCCGGTCAACGCTGGGATAGTATTCATAATCTGAAGGATGGGAGCATCAAAATCTTGTAGCAAGTCAAGACCTTCGGTTTGCCCTTCGCCAGAATTGAAGTAAATTCCCTCCGTTGACATGTTCGAAGAGCTGTTAGGATTAACGGGATCAACCACGTTGCCCAGCTGAGGAAACGCTATAGGCGACTGCATTAGGGGGGCAGCTAGTTCATCGCGAGCCGAGCCGAGGCTTCCACCCTCATTTATTTCGCGAAGACTTTGGTCCAAAGCCGTCATACCAGTCCTGTCAAACTCGGCTCGAACTCCCGAAATATCGGAGCCCAAAGCTGCCACGTCCCATTTCCGTTTCTCCCCCACGAGAACGCCTGATCGACACTGGCTCATTGCGAGAGATAGTTGTTTGTCGGATTGTTCGCGTAATTCATCGCATGTTTTCCTAATGAATGCCCGTTTTCTTTCGCATGCTCCTTCATGTCTATCGGCATGTCTAATGAACTCGCTCACGAGCCTAAAAACTTTAAAACAACACACGCACACTTCCTCGCATGTGATATCTGCATTAATAATTAATGGCAAGTAGCGTTTCAAGGAGGATAGCACTTGCGTTGTTGGAAATGCCGCCGGAGTCCCTGTAATTTCGGAAATGGCTTCGCACGCTTACAGGATGGACAGAAATGCCCTTTGGGAGCTCCAGTCTTCCTTATTGTGTCCATAGAATTTGCGGCATCTTTGTCATAAATATTTTGGTTTTCGTCGCTTTCGCCTTGATCGTTGTCATTCATATCTCGACAGTCATCACCATTGGCCCTCGAATGGGTTCGACACCGTTCGAGTTCGGCTTGCAGGCGCTGTTCGCGGGACTGGAAGGAATCAGCTAAGTGGTATGACTTATCTTAGCGTTACTAACCCGATATTCTTCGAGATGCTCGTGTAGATTGATTTCTGTTTCAAAGAACGCTGAGCAAGCACATTGTGGTTGTGTGTTTGACATTGTTCAGGATGGGGCTGCAAAAGAGTAAGTGTCAAGTCGATGTTATAAGAGTGGAGTGGTCCACCCGACTTTTCCCATGGTCAGGCGGAAGCTCGATTAGTCGGAATTTGAGAAAAGGTAATTGGCTGTAAGTGAGGACCGAGAAATCGGCCGTAATCTAATAAATACCGGGCAGGGCCGCCGCCGTTAGGCAATAAGATCATCAACCTTTTGCTTGCAGAACTGACGGCATTTTCCTGACTTGCTCTCAAGTCCCTAAGAATCTACTTTACCCATTCCTCACCTTGACGAGAACGAAGATGCCCCCATGTGAAACCTGCGGAGGCAAAAAGACCGTGAACGGTATTGCATGTCCAACTTGCAGTGGCAAGACTTGAAGATCAGCTGGTGAGCAAACACTCAAGCCGAAAATACTTCATCCTTGTTAACCCAGTCTTTGTCGATATAACTACAGCCATCATGCTCGCGCAGCAAGGTCGTGCGGACCGATCCAACGTGCGTCTGAAAAAGACACGGATACCTGAAGTCCAGGTGTGTAAATTACATTCCAACCAGGATGTGCGTACTAATTCCAAAGTCGGTCAGGTTCCTCATCCACCGTTTTTGAAGAGGACTCGGGCTGTTGCACTTGGATTCGCGATGCGGGTTTGCTGGAACTTTTTTTTATTCTTCCATTGCTTAAAAGCATCGAGAATAATATCCTTGTTATTCGAATCTACGTAGAAGAGGTCATAAGAGAGAGGCACAATGTATACAGTCAGTCATGTTTTATAAGTATTTACACCCCAGTACTCGGAAGCCCCGAGGCCCACTTCTTTTTTTTCTGCCGGTTAAAAATTTCACATTCGCGCTGCGTAGGGCTTATACTAGCAATAATAGGTAGGCGGTATATGAAAAGCGGCCAATGGTGGAAGTACTGGGGTGCAAATACTCATAAACCATGACTATATAGTACATAGAACGAGATGGTTGTTAGATACAATAGATAGAAGAAATGGTTCCGGGTAAAAGACCGGGTAATCAATGTAACTCTCCTGTTTCCTGACTAGTGTATAGTTACGAACAATCATGCCGTTGAAGTTCCAAACGGATATAGGTTATTCCTGCCTCGGAGCTTCGGGTATCCATTTATAGTCCTGACTACCCCGCCGTCCCTTCATCCCCTCCATCTCATCACGTTTTGTATACGCGTTAATGCTCCAGGGAGACTCAATATCTAAACGAAGGTAATATTTCAGGGGTTCAGATTTCTTCAGACATGGATGCTAAGTTTGGCTTTACATTTTAGGACGATCCTATCAGTTCCCACCGCCCACCTTCCTATCTCAGCTATGCCACCAACGAAAATGGAAGACGATGCCTTTACGGAGTTGAAGGATCTAGCAACATGGATTTATAAGGATGCCGAAATGAAGCAAGAAGATAACATTCTTAAGTGCGTGGACGCGTGCCGTAAAGAGAAGACGCTTCCTCTATTAAAAGCGTTAGGGTATGCCAAAGGACCGGTAATTTCAATCAATAACAACGCCATTTTAGTTCACTATATCTAAAAATTTTATAGCACGGCTTTTCCATATACCGAATATCCAGGAAGACGGAAATCACCAAGCGAGAGGATCTCAAGACCCTACTTTTCCCATTATCTGTCGGTTCCGGAATTGATAGTATAGCGTCCGGAGAGGTACAGGTGGAGGGCGAACTACTCACACCTGGCAATTTTCTGCAATTGAGTGACACATTGACTATCACCGCGGAGTTGGATTGTCTTATTGTCTATTTACCAGAGGGGAAATGATGTATGCTATGGTTTATAACATGTCCGAATATTAAATGCTTTTTAATGCTACCTTATAAAGTCATGACGCTTCGTCGTCACGAATTCGATATGTGGCCGGGGATCAGAAGTGCTAGAAGAGCCTGGAAGTACAATTCTGCGCTAATAGGATCAAGCTATGAAGTACCATCGGGTGGTTTAGGGATTTGCGCTTATATGACCGGTCTACGGCGTGACATCGAGTCCGCGTTAGACATTGCATCAGAAAAGTCCGCGCTCTCAGGTTCGTTCTGTACTCGAGCGTCGTTCTGTACTCGAGCGTCGTTCTGTACTCGAGCGTCGTTCTGCACTCGAGCGTCGTTCTGCACTCGAGCGTCGTTCTGCACTCGAGCGTCGTTCTGTACTCGAGCGTCGTTCTGCACTCGAGCGTCGTTCTGTACTCGAGCGTCGTTCTGCACTCGAGCGTCGTTCTGTACTCGAGCGTCGTTCTGCACTCGAGCGTCGTTCTGCACTCGAGCGTCGTTCTGTACTCGAGCGTCGTTCTGTACTCGAGCGTCTAATGCATTCTGGATATCCCCCTCAGAAAAGTCCGCGCTCTCAGGGTCGATCCGTGCCGCAGTATCGTTCTGTACTCGAGGG